AGATGCTTGGTAATATTTTGATGCTTTGGATTTTGTTCAGGCTTGCTTTATGGCCTAATATGGGGTCTACTCTGGAGAATGTTCCATATGCGCTGGAAAAGAAAGTATACTTGGCTGCTGTTGGGTGGAGTGTTCAGTATATGTCTATGAGATCAAGTTGGTTGATTGTAGCATTTAGCTCTTCCGTGTCTTTGCTGAGCTTCTTTTTGGATATTCTGTCCTTCACCAAAAGTGGTGTGTTGAAGTCTCCTGCTACTATTGTGGAGCTGTCTCTCTCTCTTTTCAGTGCTGTTAGAGTTAGTTTTATGTATTTCGGAGCCCTGTCATTGGGTGCATAAATATTTATTATAGTTACGTCCTCCTGTTGTACTGACCCTTTAATCATTATATAGTGTCCTTCCTTATCCTTTGTGGTGGATTTTACTTTGAAGTCTGTTCTGTCAGAGATTAATATTGCCACTCCTGCTCTTTTTTGAGTGTTGTTTGCTTGATATATTATTTTCCATCCTTAATAGTGATTTACTATATAAGAAAAAATTAACTTCACAAGCCATGAAGACTATAAAAAATTAGAAATTAATGCTCATTCTGTGACTCTATTAGAAATTCTATGTACCCTATTGCCGTCCAGTTGATTCTCACTCATAGTGAGATAGTAGAACTGCCCCACAGGGTTTCCAAGGAGCGCCTGGTGGACTCCAACTGCCAACGTTTTGGTTAACAGCCGAACTCTTAACCACTACAGTACCAGAGTTCCCAGAAATTCTATATATGGAATACAAATAAGGGTTTTAAATTTTTTTATAAATTAGTATTATAAGAAAAGTACTGCTACAAATAAAAAGTACCTTATAGAAAAAAATTATTATATTCTGAGTTATTCTGAAATGAAGAAAATTTTTTAAAAAATGTCTGATCTACCAGGGAAGTACAACTGTACATCTATAATTCAATTATTTAACTAAAAAATAGTAAAAAATAATAATAATAATTTGTTGTACAATTGATTTGTTTAAGCTGTATAATACACATAACACTAAAGATAGCTTTGAAGAGAAATAAAAAATTTCGAGCTATTATCAACAATGATCGAATTTAACCCTCAAAATCTGGTTGTTTAGATTAGTTATGAGAGGAGTAAGATTATTCTGCTTATCCTCAATAAAACGATGGTTAATGAAATTACAATTTAGTAGATGAACACAGAATCTCAAAATCCACAAAACTACAAAATGTGGTACCTACATACAGTGGAATACTACTCAGCTATAAAGAGAAACGAAATCTTGATATATGCTACAACATGGATGAACTTCGAGGATATTATGCTGAGTGAAATGTCAATCACAAAAGGACAAATATTGTATGATCTCATTTATATGAAATGACAAGAATAAGTAAATATGTAGAGACCAAAGTTTATTAGTGGTTACCAGGGGTGGGAGGGAGAGCCACTGTTTGCAAAGTAGCAAGTTTCTTTTTATGGTGAAGGGAAACTTAGCATCGATTAAGGGAAATGGTTGCACAACGTGATTAATGTAGTTGATATTACTGAGCTATACATAGGCAAATGTTGAATAGGCATTTGTTATTTTATTTATACATATTTCTACCCTAAGAGAAAAAAGGCAGCCGTTGATACTGCCTGTGTACAACCAAACACCTCACTGGATTTGTTTTCTTGGTTCGGAGTTTTAGGGTCATGGTTTTGTGGGACATTCTAATCAACTGGCATAATAATTCATTTTCACGTTTGTGTTCTACCTCCTAGTTTGCTGTGTAGTTTCTTGGGTCTTAGTTTGTGAGTAGCCATTAAGGTACAACAATTGGTCTCTATTCACCTGGAGCAGCACAGGAAGATAGAAGGTCAGGAATTGGAGGAAGAACCAGAAAACATGTCCAATTACCTCCAATAACAACTGCTTCTTTTGCCATGAGACCGGAAGAACTAGATGGTGCCCAGCTACTATTACTGAATGATTTGATCAAGATTCTATAGAATCTTGATCAAAAGGGGGAAAAAATGTGGACCAGAACTTCAAATTCTCATGGAATCCAGACTTTCTGAAGCCACTGAGGTTGGCTGACTCCCCAAAACTACTGCCCTGAGGAAATCTTTAAACCTTAAACCGAAACTATCCCCTAAAGTCATCTTTAAACCAAACAATAGTTTAGCTTAAATAGTAAAGAATGTTGCCTTGAGCATTATGTTCTTTTAAAAAATTATCTATATGAGATCAAATTGACAACAGCAACTTGAAAGGTTAGATGACAAGTCTAAGGTGCAGTGAGTTTGTGTTGATGACAGTGAAACAATTTGGAAAAGGATATTGAGAAGGTAGTACAACTTGAAGAATGTAACCACTGTCACTGAATTGTACATGTAAAAATGGTTGAATTGATGTATGTTTTGCTGTGTATATCTTAATCAAAAGGAAAAAATATCCATAGAACTGTTCAAAACTTGTTTAATTTTATAGGCCATAACAAAGGCCTATAAAGCTCACCAATATACAACTACAACTGTTAAGAGTTTATCATAGTTTAAGCTTTCAGAAGCAATATGCCCAAAAAGCACAATATAGGAAGGTCTGCTCCTCTCTGTCTGCAAACAATTAGCCTGTTGTTTTTCCTTTATCTTGGTCATTCCTCTCCTTTCTGCCCTGGGTTTCTATTTGGTTTAGAGAGAGAGTTGTTCTGTGTTTTCTTTTGTTTTGTTTTAATTCTCCTGTCTCTTTTCCACCTTAATTTCCCCCTCTTTCCTCACTAACATTTGCCTTATTCCACTAATAATGGACTTCAGCCATCCAGAATCCCTAGGTTAAAGAATTCAAAGTTTTCAGACATAACTGAAAATTTATTAAAATGAGCTTTATTATCTCGGCTCATTTATAAATGGAGAACTTCCCATATATACTTATAAAATAAACTTCTTTATACTGAAAAGAGTATTCTGAATCTATTTCACTTTTTTCTAGATTATTATCAATTACAGTGACATGCTGAAAATATGACTGTGTATAGTATAAGAAATAGATCTGAATTGATATTATCCACACCAGTGGACCTGAAACTTGCTTTCTTTAAATACTTCTAGGGTCACCTATGAACTTTGTTCATTGCCTCTTCATAAAGATGGAGGGAGTGACAGACAAGTACACTTCTACTGAACTGGTATCTTCTTTTTTCTCATTTTATGGCTCCCACACTTCTAAGTTTTTACTGATACAGCCAATCAGTCAGAGCATCTTCTGCTTCTGAAGGAGAACTCTTCCAGAAAAGAAGATTCAAAAAGGTTAGTCTATGAATATATAATTTTAGTCAATTATATACATGTAAAATCACCCTATGTTCCCTGCTCTTAATTTAAGGAGGGAGCAGTTTAAATACTTTTATTTGTCTCGGAAAGACAATACACACACAAAAAAAACCCTCAAACTAAATTGAGTTTAAATGTATTTTTTCAGTGATGCTTGATAGGCAGGCAGCTCTCCATTCTTTTCCTACATGATTTCACTGTGCCAGCCCTGAAAAAGATAACCCTTGATCTTAGATGATGAACCCAGAGTACTCGCCTTTCCAGCCTTTTCCATGCTTCTGTAACTAGCGCTTCAACTAGACGGTCATGGGCCTCAACAGCAAGCCTCAATAAAAGCAAGAGAAAAAATTCTCCATAAATAAACATTTGTAAATCATTAAAAACACATGCAGAAAGAGTTATAATATAAAAGTGAACCTCAAGTTATTTTTCTCTTACATAGTCAGTCCTTATTATTGGGCCATTTCTATTGCAATATTCTGATGTCTTGGTATAGTCTAATACTTTACTCCATGCCCCTCTCACCCTTTTATCTGCTCATTTCAATGTTCTCTACTGATGACAAAGAAAATGCTCAATGATACATTTTATCTTAAAAATATACATAACATTTATAACTTTTTCTGATTATACAATTTTTATAGGAGAAAGTTTTAAAATACAGAAAAAGTTTAATAGGGAAATAAAAATCATTTATAACCCTGCTACTCATAAATAGTCACCACTACCATTTTGGAGCATTTTTTGCCAATTTTATATATACATATATATTATATAATATATAATATAAATGAAATATACATATTTCATTTACATTTTATATTCTGCCTTTTTTAGTGGGTTAACATTATAGTATGGGCATTTGCCCACATCATTAAATATTCTTCAAAATATGATTTTTAATGATTGTAGATTATTCCATTATATGAGTGTAGTATCATTTAGCTAAAACATTCACCTACTATTGGAATTTTAGTTTTTCAGTATAAACAATGCTGTGATGAATAGCTATATACAAGAATCTTTAAATGCTATCTTGGATTATTTTCTTAAGATAAATCTTAGAAGCAAAATTATCGGGTCAAAGGTATTTTCAAAGCTCTTGATAAATAGTCTGCCATCAGCAAACAAGAGTTCCTGTTCCATTATACCTTCACTAACAATAGATAGTCTATAAAAATAATTAGTTTTTTCTTTTCTTAATGATCAAATTTATCTGAGTTTTCCTTTGACGCCAACGAAGCCTTTTTTTCCCCCATTAACAACTTTTAAAAATCCATGGAATATAATTTGTGAAACACTATTATCAAGTATAAATAAGTTTGCAAAATAATTCAACTTCCTCTTTCTTTGTCTTTGAGAGCTACTGTTGGGAAGCAACCTGGTGTACCAATATCCCCTAGAAAACATACCTGTCATCAGTTTAATTATGGGAACCGAAAAGTCAGCACAGGCAAAATTTACTACTCTGATGAAGTCTAATTGTTTATTTATTTTATCCTCATTTTCTTTAGCTAATCACATTTCTACAAAATTTCACAATAATCTAGTTACATACAGTTGAAGTTAATAATTTCTAGTTTCACAAGTGATTATATTTCAGTTTATTAAATTGTAATACTATTAACTGGTATCAAAGAATATCCTCTAAACATCTTTAAAATATAGATTATCAGAAAAACTATTACTGGGGGAAAATTTTTTTGTTGCTTTAAAGAGATTTCTAGAAAATTAAAATATAAAAATAAACTATGACCATTTTCATAAACTCTAAAAGCAAATTACTTACTGTTGTGTGATGTACAACACGTTCACCAGGGTATCATCATTCATTAATTCTATTTTATCTGTAGTTAAATTACGAAGAGTAAGAAATTGGGGATGGTCTTTGACATAGTCAACATTTTTTGAGCTGGTCTTCTGCTTTTGAAACTGCCAAAGTATATTAAATGCACATCCCACTTGCTTTTCTGAAAGGGTGGCTTTGTTCCTTTCAATAAGATCAAATATTTGCTCTTCTTCTGTACACTTATTCATCTGGCTAATTAATGGTTCACAACTTGAGGGTCGAAATTGAAACACTCTCCAGAAGAATGGATAAATAGCTCTTAGACGAAGCATATTTGTGATGGGTAAGTCCAGCAAAAAGTTATCTTTTCATTTACATCACAAATTTACTTAAATGAAAAGCATTTGCAAACAGTAGTCAGGTGCAATAAACTGGTATAAAAATAACTGTTTTTCCTTCATGTGTTTTGCTTCCATTATGATGACTCCAAATCTCATTCTAACATGCAGCTTCTGTAAAAGGATTGATTTAACAAGGTTATGCTTATATCATTAACAATAAAATTAATTCTAAAATTCCAATTAGAGTAACAAGTTTCTTCTCATTAACTAGAGACTTTGTTTTTAGTCTGAACCTTATGGAAGGATTTGATACAAAATCAAATGCCCAGAGAAAGGGGCTTCTTTCCACATCCCATTTAAAAAATGTTTGTTAAATCTGACATTTACATAAGGTTTTGAAATTTGACCATAAATGTGGAAGGAAAAAAACTCAAACACAGAACTGAATCAAAGACAATTACAAAAAAAAAGAATAATTTGCTTTAAAAATAAGTTATAAATGTTTGTGGGAGGTTGAGAAGCAAGGGTCAGAAAATCATACCATCCTACACTTCTGCAACATGTTACAATTTACAAAGGACCTTTTAAATACACTAACTCATTAAATCCTCTCACTAAGAATATTGAATAGTCCATGGACGGCAAGAAGAATGAACAAATCTGTCTTGGAAGAAGTATAGCCAGACTACTCCTTAGAAGCAAGGATGGTGAGGCTTCATCTCAAGTACTCTGGACATGGTATCAAGAGGGACCAGTTTCGGGAGAAGGACATAATGCTTGGTAAAGAAGAGGGTAAGCAAAAAAGAGGAAGACCCTCAACGAGATGAATTGACACAATGGCTGCAATAATGGGCTCAAGCATAACTATCGTGATTATGGTGCAGGACCCGGCAGTGTTTCGTTCTGTTGTATATACTGTCGCCGTGAGTCAGAACCTACTTGAGGGCACCTAACAACCTGATAGGTAGACAGTATCATTTCCATTTTACAAATACGAAAACCTAGGTTGAAAAACATTAAGAAACTGCTCTAGCACTAGTGAAGCTGCAACTACAACCGAATTCTTTGCCTTTTTCCAATTAAACAGCCTCATCAAATTAACAAACCAACACGCGGTTATTCTATCATTAAAGAATGCTGCTCAGACCCCTCTCCTTGGCGCTGCCAAGCCACTGCCAAGGGAAAAAAAAAGGTGAGATCGTATTGGCTATTTTGTGGCAATCAGTACAGCATCGTGAGCCAAACTGACCTAGGTCACACACAAACACAAAAAGCCCTGCACAACTGAAAGTGGAGGTATTTCAATATTTAGAATAAAAAGCAGTCCCCAGCTTTGCCCCAGCTGAATGATCGTGGGTACGTTACTTAACCAACGGAGGGGCGTTGGAACTACAGTATAAGTGAGAGACTGGTACCACTTTTGAAAAGTATCCAAACCAAACCGAACCCCACTGCCCGTGGAGTCGATTCCGACTCATAGCGACCCTATAGGGCAGAGCAGAACTGCCCCATAGGGTTTCCAAGGCCGTAAACGTTTAGGGAAACCGACTGCCCCATCTTTCTCCCGCAGAGCGGTAGGTGGGTTTGAACCGCCCACCTTTCGGTTAGCAGCCCAGCGCTTTAACCACTCCGCCACCAAAGCTCCTAGTGCACGGTGAATAGTGTCGTGCTGTGCAAATGACTAGCATCCTCCTCGCTCGGCACACAGTGGCGCTCAATGAATGACTGCGAGTCTCCCCGGTTTTCCACAAGGCGAGGGCGCAGTCCAGCCCTCCTTCTGCGCCGCGGATCTCCGCGAGAACCCACCTCCGGGAAGGAGGCCTGGGTTTCTTAGCAGACCCGTGTCCCGGCCCGAAAATGTGCGAAGTGTGTTAAAAGAAAAATCTCTGCTGCTACCCCGGGCCTGACTTGCCGGCAAGGACTTCATTCCCTCAACGCCGGCAACTTTTCAGGAAGTCCCAGGGAAGGCCGGTTACGATGGCTCAGAAGTCAAGGCCCCAACAAGCGACGCGACAGACTCTGCTGTCTCTCGCTCACTCCTCCTATCCCAGGGCTTTCAGCCTGTCCTCGAGAAACATTACCTTTCCTCTGGTGAAGTCTGTCCCCACACCAGGAAAAAATGCCGGGCAAGGGCAGCACGCACGGCTGAAGGGGCACACTACATATCCCAGAGGGCGTCGCGGCGAGGTCGGTGGAACAGTCGTCGCTTACGCGTTGGAGGAATTCTGGGAGTTGTAGTTCCTCATTGAGACGGGCTCTACGGCAGTACTTCTTAAACTGTCGAAGAAGATATAGGTCCTTTAGGTCTGTGTTTCTCAATTATCTGAGGTTTTCCTCAGTCTGTCGTGGACTGATACTTTTATCATACACAATAAAAATGAATTATTAGAAAAATGAAATTAGAAAATGTAAACATGGAAAAGATACGGATGGATCTTTTTTTCTTACTGTATTCAACAGACACAAAATTACTGTCAAGTGTTTATAAACGTATCTAAACTCCTACTCTCAATTTCTGCACTTATATCCCGGCACACGGCATTAGTCCACAGACTATACTTTTTTTTTTTAACACCTTTATTGAAATATAATTCACATACCATACAATTCACCCTTTTGAAGTGTACACTATAATGGCATTTATTATATTCACAGAGTTGTGGAACTATCACCACAATCAATTTCAGAATATTTTCATCATCCCAAAAAGAAATGCCATGCCCATTAGCAGTCACTCCTCATTCCATCCCCTGGCCACGCCTTCCAAACAAACAAAAACCCATTGCTGTGGATTCACCCTGACTCATAGTGACCCTTATAGGACAGAGTAGAACTGCTCCATAGGGTTTCCAAGGGGCAGCTGGTGGATTCGATCTGGGCCACCAGAGCCCCTAGTGCACGGACCTGGAGTGTGAGATCAGTTTGTAATAATGTTGAGTCTTCATTATGAGCTTCAGATTAGCTTTCCAATATCAGGGGCTGCTTATCTCTCTCTCTCTCTCATAAGTTAAGTTGAACCCTTTTTCTCTCAGAGAAAATTCTGCCAGCATAAATGTGTGTTTGGATTAAATTTAACTTTAATAATATAGAAGTAGAGTATGATTGGATAAGATATAATTGGCAGGAAGACCTGTATCCTAGAACTTTATGTCAATAAGAGTAGTCTAGTACAGTACTTCTTAGAGTTTCTGAAAAACACTTGAAAAGTTAACAAGTTGTGTTTACTTTCAACCAACAGGATTTAATTTCAAACTAAAGATTGCTTCAGCTGTCCTTATCAAACTTTCCTAAATTTATGGTTGCTATCCTTGACAGCTAGAAACATATGTTGTTTAGAGTCCGTAATAGTTATATATTGCTGATTAACAAACTTTCTTAAGACTTAGGGGCTTTAAATGACAATAAACATTATTATCTCATAGTTTTTGTAGATCAGGACTTTGAAAGCAGCTTAGATGGGTAGTCCTGGCTCAAGGTCTCTCATGAGGTTGTAGTCACGATGTTGGCTAGAGCTACAGTCATCTAAACGCTTGACTGTGGCTGGAGGATTTGCTTGCGGAAGACTCACTCATATGCCTGAAAAGTTGGTGCTGGCAATTATCAGGAAGCCTCAGTTCCTTGCCAAATGGACCTCTCCATAAGGCTGCTTAGTGTCCTCATGATAAGACGACTGGCTTCCCGGAGCAAGTGAACCAAGAGAGCAAGATGGGAGCCACAAAGGCTTTTATAACCTAGACTCAGAAGTCACACACTGTTGTTTTCATAATATCCAATTTGCAACACAGATTAGCCCTATTCAATATATGAAGATTGATGAGGAGGAGGCAAGGATCACCGGAGGCCATTTTAGAGACTGGCTACCACAAAGAGCTAGAAAAACACCTGTTACCATATTCTAAAAACCGCAAGATGGGTGAGGGAAGAGAAAAAGATAGGTATTAATGTGAAGTCTCTTTTGTCAAACCTGCGGGGAAGCTTGTAATAATGAAATGGTTATAAGGTAGATAAAAAATTAAAGTGAAAAAATGAGTACGCTATGAATTAAATAGGTTTTACAATGTGTATGGACCAAAAAAAGAGTATATATAAGAATGTGTAGTAAGGGCTAGTGCTAGAGATTGAAGGGAAGTGAGGGGAACTCAAGGGAGCAGGAATAGCAAAAGAAAGACAGACAGAAGGATAAGTTGTTCCTAAGTAATGAAGCATTAACAATGGAATAGACAAAAATTAGAGTTCCAATAGAAATCCAAGAATAAATGGGAACTTAAGATAAAAATGATATTCAATTCAGTGGGGAAAGAAAAAGTAGGTTTCTATTTAGAAGAAAATAAAGGTAGACTCCCTACCTCCCAATATACAAAAATGAATTACAGACAGACTAAATATATAAATATAATAAATAAAATTGTTATGAAATAGTAGAAGAAAATTTAAGGTAAATGTGTATTATCTTAAGATAAACCAGAAAGGAAACCCAAAAGCCAGTAATAGAAAATCCTAATAAATTTGGCTACATTAAAATTAAGAATTCTGTACAGTGAACATCAATAAAGTCAATAGACAATTGATAGAATGGAAGAAAATATTTGAAACACATCACAAAGGGTATGTGTGTGTGTGTGTCTGTGTGTGTGTGTCTGTGTGTGTGTGTGTGTGTGTGTGTGTGTGTGTGTGTGTGTGGAGAGAGAGGGACAGAGAGTATAAACTGAAATAAAAAGACAAAGAATTCAAT